AAGAGGCGTGGTCACGGTTGGCAACCTACCAAGGGAACACCTGCACCCACCCACTCCCAAAAGCCCAGCTCTAGCACCACAATTATCCATGACAAATAGCTCTGCAAGGTGGGGAGGCGGACTGAGGAAGTGGCTGTGATGTACTGTGATCTGGGGAGGGAGCAGAGAAGCTAGAGTCAGTATCCTTCTTGAGGAGCCCCCAGGGCTAACCCAGACACATATTCCTTTCACATTTGTGCATTTCACTCAACACTTAAAACTGTCTACTGCATGCTAGACCTAAAGTCTGGACATCTGGGGTGGAGGAGGACTGGTAGAAGAGGACATCTGAGCAAGGAACAGACTCAGAATAGGCTTTCCTTTTGTTCAACACTTAACGCCTACTGTATACTAACAATAGTGCTGGACTTCAGGGAACATAAGAAAAGGAATCAGAGCTGCACGTGTCTCTGCAGTAAAGGGAACAAACTCAGACACTAATGCTCTTAGCATTTGCTCATTCATTTACCACTCACCAAGTGCTGAGAGCCCCTAGTGATGAGACACATAGGAATCATCATCATAGTTATGATAATAGCTAACACTTAGAAAGTACTTATTGTGAACCCAGAAGTGTCTTAAGGCTTTCCATAGTATGAACTCATTTAATCCACAATAAACTCATGAGGTTCAGTATTCTCTCCCATTTTACAAAGGCAGAAACAGGTTCAGAAAGGTTGTAGGCTAGACATTGCTGAAGCACCATGCATTATGGTACTAACTTAAAATCAGGAGTAGAGTTCAAGACTGCAGTGGGTAAAGGGGATCCCTCTACATTGGAAGGTCCAAGTAGAAGATTCATTATAACTAAATTCTCATCACCACCCTAATTTGACTTCTTGGGTCCATTTTCCATTATGTAAAATAGTCCAGGTGATGAGTTGAAATGAAAATGAGTCAATGAGTATTTGGTCATCTTGGGAAAACAGTACAAGTGCATGTGGGGGATCCTGGTTTCTACTAAAGTGTGTAAGATAGAGCACCGATGGCTCATGCCTGTAATCCTAGCTACTCAGGAGGCTGAGATCTGAAGATCGCAGTTAAGGCCAGCCTGGGCAGGAAAGTCTGTGAGACTCATCTCCAATTAACCACCAGAAAACTGGAAGTGGCGCTGTAGCTCAAGAGGTAGAGTTCTCACCTTGAGCTGAAGATATCAGGGACAGCACCCAGGTCCAGAGTTCAAGCCCCACGACTGACAAAAAAAAGTGGAGATTCAGTTGTGTATGTACATTATGAGGTACATATCTATGTGTTGGATTAAATTTACAGATGTGTCAAAAATTAAGGATTGCCAGGTGCTGGTGGCTCACGTCTGTAAGCCTAGCTACTCAGGAGGTTGAGATCTGCGGATCACGATTCAAGGCAGCCTGGGAAGGAAAGTCCATGAGACTTGTATCTCCAATAAACCACTAGAAAACCAGAAGTGGTGCTGTGGCTCAAGCAGAAAGTGCTCACCTTAAGCTGAAGAGCGCAGGGACAGCACCCAAGCCCAGAGTTCTGACAAAAAAAAACTTAAGGATCATTGAGTATGTTGTACATATATGATTTATATGTGTCACATATGTGCATACTCACTAAGGTGACATAGATACATATGTCATAAATACGGATACAATACTGAGTGTAAACATGTCAGAGATGTGCTTGCACTGTGGCTCACCAAAATACACGAAAGAAAATCATTCTTGGAGGCCCTTCTGTAGAAAGCCCTGTTGAAGGAGAGAGGGATGATGTGGAGAGGTTTTATTTTTCTGCTTTGGGGAGCTAAGAAACTCCAAGGGGAAACCACATTCCTCTAAAAGATAATCTACGAATAATTTCTAGAAATTGAGCCACCTGAAGAAAGGGAATGGCACTAGAAGCCACAAGTACTAGGGAGCCAGATTCTTAGGAAGAGGCACAGACTAGAGACAGAATCCCAAGGAGCCCAAATACAGTCCCAGAGATGCCAAAAAGGCCTGGAAAACCACAACTACGCCTGTCCACTAGAGGCTGAGTAGTTTATTCGCTTCTGTTAAAACAAACAAAAGTCCGATTTTTTTTGTTTGCTTGTCAGTTGGGGGACTTGAAGTCAGGGTCTGTATGCTGTCCCTGAGCTTTTTCACTCATGGCTAGTGCTCTACCACTTGAACCACAGCACCACTTCCAGTTTTCTGGTGATTAATTGGAGATGAGAGGCTCAGGGACTTTCCTGCCCAGGCTGATCAAACCATGATCCTCAGATCTCAGCCTCCTGAATAGCTTGGATTACTGGAATGAGCTACCAGCATTAGGCTAAAAAACAATTTTTGATTAGCAACAGAAGCATACACTTCAATTTCAAAACATTGGAAAATACCCAATTTATGAGCATCCTGGAGGGAAGAAGGCCATGCCAAAGCAAAGGCCCTAGAGATGGGACTGAAGCTGAGCGGGATGGAAAAAGGAAAAGAATGATGTGGGAAATGTTTGACTTGGTGATTGTGGGAACCTACGGGAAGACTGGAATCTGAGACCTGGGAGACAGGGAGAATTTCCACTATGGCCAAAGGCAGCTGTTGAGAGAAGAGAGAGAAGGCATTCCTGGTAGAGGCTATAGTGCATGCAAAAATACAAAGGTTTGCTGGGCGCCAGTGGCTAACGTCTGTAATCCTAGCTACTCAGGAGGCTGAGATCTGAGGATTGAGGTTCAAAGCCAGCCCGGGCAGGAAAGACCATGAGACTCCTATCTCCAATAAACCACTAGAAAACCAGAAGCGGTGTTGTAGCTCAAGTGGTTGAGCACTCACCGTGAGCTGAAGAGCTGAGGGACAGCACCCAGGCCCAGAGTTCAAGCCCCATGACCGACAAAAAATTATATATATAAAGATTGCTCCTCTCCTTCTGCTTAGACGTAGCTCAAATGACCATCCCCTTTTATAGATGAAGAAACCAAATCTCTTTATCACTTTTCTAATTATATTGTGGAGGCCTAACTTGAACCTACACACTGTGATGCCAAGTCCCACACTATATACCTTATTTAAATAGACTAATGATTTAGTGAATGAAAAGCAAAAGAATACATGCTTAGTTCATTTTAAAATCCTGCAGGCAAAAGAGACTCCCAAAACTGCTTACTTGTGTATCTTCTGCTACCACTATCATTGCTATCTATGGCCAAGGCCTTATCTAGTGTGGTCCTTGCTAAACTATGACACTATCTCCTACCACAATCCCCCTGACTTTGTTCTAGCCACGCTAGCAGTGGCTATTCTATCTTCCTGGCACACTCTTAAAAGAAAAATAATGTATTGATTGGAAAGTTCACATGATCCCATAGGAATGAATTGGAGTTTTGGGATTCCCTCATCTGTAAAGTAGAAATTGCATTATCTACACACAGGGTTGTATGACCCAAGGCATATAAACAGTTCTGGTTCTATGCAGTCAACAAGTGCTTATTTATGGATTTGTGTTTTTATTGTAGTCAGGATCTTAAAATATGATATGATTTTTTTTGGGTCCAGTCGTGGGGCCTGAACTCTGGGCCTGGGTGCTGTCTCTCAGCTCTTCATCTCAAGGCTAGTGCTCTACCGCTTGAGCCACAGCGCCACTTCCGGCTTTTTTCTTTTTTCTTTTGCTTATGTGGTGCTGAGGAATCAAACCCAGGGCCTCAGGCATGCAAGGCAAGAGCCACCTTCCCAGCTTCCATGATATGATTTTTTTATATCACTCTGGACTACCCCCACTTGCTCATGTACAGACATTATTTGGCACCCTGGTCCTGTCTGAACAATTCTTAGGTGTGGGAAGAGACAGCTATTGACACTGTTGACATTAGGTTTTGTCTATGTCCAGAGCAGTCTACATGACTGTGTGAGTGTAGGGAGGAGGAAATACAAGCACCAGAGCTACAGCTGCAGATAATGTGTCTCTATGATATATCTGGGTTTCTCCATGATCTTCTGTAGATATGTTTTGTCTAGGTGTGTGTGCTTGTGTGAGTTTCTCTGGGTCTCTGTGTGCTTCCCATAGCTGTGAAATGCATGCATAGACTCAACATGCTCATGTGTTTGTTACTCTGGGCTTATATGTCTGTTTATAAACCTGTACGTGTCCCCTGTGTGTTTCCTTACTTTTATATATGTGTGGTATTCCCTGTGTGTCTCCAGGCCCCTCACTGTGCAAGGCAAGAGTGTGTATATCACCCCAGGTATACACCTCCGCATGTCTGATGTTTTCTCTGCTGCCCCCACACCAACTCCTACTTCTCTCTGCTTGAGACTGTGTGAGTTGGAAGACAGATTTCCCGGCGGGGCACTGCGTGTGACCCCCCAACCCCTCTCTGTGAGGGGCTTATTTTTTATTTCTATGTCTCTGAGTGTGCCTCCGTGCCCGCCCCCAACTAATTGCCTTCAGCGGTGTATATCAACACTGGAAACAAAATGGGGGGGGGGTTCCTGTGGAGTGTGAGTGGCTATGAGGACCATGATGGGACGGGCTGTGGGGAGTAGTCTGCTTGACTACCGACCCCAACCCTTTACACAAGCACCCCACCCCCACTCCCCAAATTGCGCATCCCTTATCGGAGAGGGGGGAGGGGAAACAGGATGCGGCATGGCGCGTGCGCACTGATGGATTCAGCACCGCGGACAGCGCCTTCGCCCCCGCCGCCGGCGCGCGCCACCGCCTCCTCAGCTCTGAAGGCGCGCTGACGTCACTCGCCATTCCTCCACCAACTCCCCTTCCCCATCGCCTTGGTCGCGTCCGCGCTGCCGTGTGCTCAGCCAGACGGCACCACTCGAGGCGCAACATAGGGGGGCACGGGCGCGACCATCCGCGCTGCGGCGGCGGCGACTCAGCGCTGCCTCAGTCTGCGGCGGGCAGCAGAGGAGTCGCGTCGTGCCGGAGAGCGCAGCTGTGCTCCTGGGCCCTTCGCGGTCCGCCCCCGCGGCTCCTGGACAGACTGCCTCTAGGACCCCCTGCCCCAAGCCGCCACCATGAACTACCTGCGGCGCCGCCTGTCGGACAGCAACTTCATGGCCAATCTGCCGAATGGGTACATGACAGACCTGCAGCGCCCACAGCCGCCCCCGCCGCCGCCCTCTGCCGCTAGCCCCGGAGCCACACCCGGTTCCACGGCCGCCACTGCCGAGAGGGCCTCCACGGCCGCCCCAGTGGCTTCTCCTGCCGCCCCTAGTCCTGGGTCCTCAGGGGGCGGTGGCTTCTTCTCGTCGCTGTCCAACGCGGTCAAACAAACCACAGCAGCCGCGGCGGCCACCTTCAGCGAGCAGGTGGGCGGCGGCTCTGGGGGCGCAGGCCGTGGGGGCGCCGCCGCCAGGGTGCTGCTGGTCATCGACGAGCCGCATACCGACTGGTAAGCCACTGCTGCGCCTTCCCGTGGGCCTGGGTCCCCAGATGATTCCACGGTGAATGAGCAACTATCGAGCACCACTTATGTGCCTGGCATCCAGCCCCCTCGCCCAAATTCCTTTCCTTTAAGTCATGATGCTGGGCCTTCCTATGTGCCCCGCCCTTGTCTCCCCCAAATCTCAGTGGATACAGAGAGCAATAATCAGTTTCCTACTGTATACCTCTTCCTCAGTCCTCCTTCCCGAAAACCTTTGGCTTCAATATATCCTGTGAGCCTTCAAGCATGGAATGTAACCTGTTTCCCCTACCTAATCCTTGCCCCCCAAGGTCTTTTCCTCTAATGAATTTGTAAGCATTTATCCAGTACCTGCAGTATGCTTCGTTGAAGAACCCTTCCTTTAGGCCTTTAGCTTCAATGAATTTAGGGAGCATGTTTTGGCAGCTGGATTTACGTCCCTTTCTCCTCACCCTTGCCCGTAAGCCTTCTCTCTAATAGGTCTTGTGCGCATGTATCCTCTATCTGGTAAACATTGATTGAGTGCCTGCTGTCTATTCCATCCCTGCTTTTAGCCACAAGCTTGGCCTGTAATGGATCATGTGAACGTTCACTGAATGTCTTCTATTTGCCTCAAATCCCAGCCCTCTCTCCAAGGAGATTTTTCTCCAAAGAATCTAGAAAGCATTTATTAAGTACCTGACACATATCCCATCCTGAAGCTCCTCTCAGATCGTTTCCCTCCAGTGAGTTCCATAAGCATTTTTGAACCTTTGGTGTGTGACTCATCACCAGACTGTCTCCTCAAAGACCTTCTATAATAAATACTAAAAGCATGTATTGAGTGCCTTCTGCATCCTCCAGCTCAAGCTACTTTTCAAGGGCCTTTCCTTTGGTTGATCCATCTAGCATTTATCAACTGCTTACAGTGTGAGCCTTTTTTAAAGGTTCTTTCCTCCAATATGGTCAGCAAGCATGTTTTGAGTGCCTGCTTGGAGACCCTACACACACACACAGACACACACAGACACACAGACACACACACACACACACACACACACACACAACCTTTGCCCAATGCCTTTTCCTTCAGTGGGTTTACTCAGCATGTAATGAGTACCTTTTGCATGACTCAATCTTAGAAACCACCAAGGCCTATGCTTGTAGTTAATCCAATGCTCAGGTATTTAGCAGTTGCTGTGTGCACCACTTCAGTCACTCTTGCAGAAGACTTTTCCTTTTCATCATTCCTTAGCATGTGTAGGGAGCACAGGCTCTGTGCCTTCTCCACAAAAACCTTTCCACCCATGGATGGAGAATCCTGCTTGCAGAGATCAGGTTTCTGCATCCTCCTTCCCAAAGGACTTTTCCTCTAAAAATCCAGTGACTGTTTATCAAATGATCATGTGCCCATCCCTAGCCCCTGTCTTGCCAAAGCTTTCTTTTAATGGATGCAGTGGATGTATTCCTTTCTGCCATGTACTACATTCTAATTACCTTCCCCGAAGGCCTTTTCCTCCAATGACTCCCATGAGCATCTGCAGAGTCTTCTGTGTGTTCCTGCCTCCTCCCCAGAGACCTTTTCTTCCAGTGGATCCAGTGAGAACATAGTAATGCCTGTTGCATGGAGGGAACACATTCCCTTCAATGCCACTTGGAGAACCTGCCCCAATCACAAGCTCTGCCTCTTCCCTACCTCTTCTTCCATCAATCCAGAGCCCAATTTAGAGGGTTCAATCCTCTTCCACTCCCTTCACTAACCCTGGAATTCCCTTTCCCAACCTTCAGTCTATACCCCCAAAGGGCTTTTAGTCTATTTAAGCCAGTAAACACTTACTAAGCAGTTATTGTATGAGTCATTCTCAATCTCCTCTTTCCAGGTCCCTGAAGTTCCTGCCCCTGTCTTAAGAGCCCACTCTCCAGGGATCCACTTCAGCTGAAATTTATTGAGTACCATTTGTTTACTAGTCAGATCACCCCACCCCCTTCCCCAAGAGTCCTTACTCTGCTGCCTTTCTCTCTCTTCAGAGCCATACACACTACAGAAATTTATTACCTTTTTCTATGTGTCAGAATGTGGGAGGCATTTATTATGCATTACAATACACTAGGAAGATCCTTCCTTCTGCTCCCTTTCCGTTTTTTGTGCCAGTACCTGGGCTTGAACTCAGCGTTTTTTGCTCAAGACTAGCCCTCTACTACTTGAGCCATGCCTTCAGTCCTCCCTCCTTCTTTCTAATGCCAATTACTACCTGGATTTTTCATATACTTTCTTTAATTTAACCCCACAATCTTTGGTGCCTTACTGGGGCTTGAGCTCAGGGCCTTATGCTGTCTCTGAGCTTTATTATTGCCTAAGGCTAGCCCTCTACCACTTGAACCACACCTCTACTTTTTGGTAGTTAATTGGAGATGAGTCTCATGGACTTTTCTGCTGGGCTGGCTTCAAACCACAATCCTCAGATCTTAGCCTCCTGAATAGCTAAGATTACAGGCATGAGCCACTGGCGCCCAGCTAACCCCACATTCCTTTAACAAACAGCTATTGTATACTCTAAAGAGCCCTATATTTCCCCCCTCCTCTAGGCCCAATCCCCCGTTTAACAATCCCCATCCTTCTTTCCACACTATATAGTCCTGAAGACTCAGTGTGGCACTATACTTCATTCTAGCTAGATGATGCTCCCCCACTTGGTAGTCATCCCTGAGCTGTCCTTCCCTGTCCCCATTAATCCAGAAAGCACTTATTAATCTCTTACTGTATTCTGTTCAAATAACTGCATTCCTATCTTTTCAGCAGGCTGCTTCACTCTTGTCTCCAGCTGCTCATAAAGCATGTATTGATCATGTGCCATAATTCCTTCACCAAAGTCCTCTTCCCTCCCAATGTGCTCCCTTCCTGGCCAAATTTGTTGCATTGGGATCAGCAAACATTAACAAGGCCCCTGCTGTATATTAGGAGTCTCCTCCTTTAGGTGTCTCTTCTCTACTCCAACCCTCCAGGCAGGTTCTTCATTGCTTTTTTCTCCATCCCACCAAGTATTATCTACTAAATATTGACAAGACCTTTTCTATATTGGCAACTCCAGTGGTTTTCATTTTTGCTTTTAATCTTCCAAGCAAGCATTTATTGAGCACCTGCTCTCTTTATCCCAGAAGCTTCTCCAGTTTTTTCCTTCCAGGCAATCAAGCAAATGTTTAGTTAGTGCCTACTATATACGCGGTAACATGGACGAAGGGCTAGAGCTTTTGTACACCAGGCTCAGCATGAGAAAAAGAGCCTTACATCACCAACTAACAGACTCCCAGACCATGGAAGCTTCCAAGGTTTTATCCTGGAATAAAGGAGGAATTTTGCAAAATGTAACAAATGCACACCTAAGTGAAGTATGATGCTTTCCCCAAAACTTCACCACTCTCATTTCTTCCTGAAGCTTAGCACCTCTGCGCTCTGAAGTTGGAACTTCTGAGTTGAGACTAATCTCTCCATTTCAGAGATAATTTAGTTCCATGTTTTTCAAAAAGGGATTACCTATCAGCCTATGACCAGCATATCACTTTATGTTGAAGGAGAAATGAAAATAGAAAATAATACCATCTTGCACACAGTAAGCAGAGTTTTTAAATAAGTTGTCAGTCCAATAAGGCATATAATATATAATGTATACTACATGTTATATATGACATATGTTGCATGTGTTATGTAATTACTTTGCACTATATAAGCTAATGTGTGTATTTTTCTTCAGAAAATAATATAGGAAATATAAAGTTGCACTTCAAATAGTAAAAGTAATTATTTTTTTTTTCTTTTTGCTTATGTGGTGCTGAGGAATCGAACCCAGGGCCTCATGCATGCAAGGCAAGCGCTCTGCCACTGAGCCACCTTCCCAGCCCCAGTAAAAGTAATTATTTACTGAAACTTTTGACATGGGGTCTTGCTATATAGCCCAGACTCGCCTTGAACTCATGATCCTCCTGCCTCAGCTTTCCATGTGCTGGGATTATAGGTATATATCACCATTCCTGGCTAAAGCTTTAATTCCAATTATATATGTATACTTAAGTACATTCTACTATGTATCCTAGAAACATATACATAATTTTAGTATGCAACATTTATGTTACATATTATATAAGGCATATCCTATACACTATTTGCTCTATAATGTGTCTTATATAATATATATAGCATGGGTTATTATGTAAATATGTTTATAGTGGGTTGTATAAACAATATTTCTTATTGTGGCTTCTTTCCTTAGATAGACTTCCCTGGAGGCAGACCCTTCACCTTCAGGTAGCACCTCTTTTGGTCTCAGTGGCTTACTTGGTGGGTGTTCTATTCACCTCTCTTTGAGGGATCCTTAAGCCTTGTGTCCCTACAAACTTCTCAGCCTCCAGCTGTTCTACTTGTCCACTTACCATGAAAATTGAACAAGGAGTGCCAACAGATGCCCAAGTGGATCACCTGAGTGCGATATTTCTCCTTATCCCTAAAGTGTACCAGCAGCCCTACATCCTCCTAAGTATCAAGGTCATGTTCTCCTGCCATACAGTGACACCTCTTCACTTGGCATGAGAACCCTGAAGTGCCCAGGTGGTGATCATAGTCTAGAGTTTAATGGGATTCTTGCTGTGTCCCCTGGTAGCAGTGTCCCCCCTTGAAGAACCAGGACCTCTAACCTTGCAGAGCCTTGAGGGAACAGGAAGCACAAATTCCCAAAGTGGACCACTGGGATCTATGGTAAGCTGGGCCACTCCTACTTTAACCTCCAAGTTCCAAGATCCATATGCCTTACCTATTAAGAACAAAGCACATGCCATGCCCATTGATTTAGGGCTTATACTGTGGTTTTTATTTTTGTAGATGATGCCATTGGTGCATGGTATCATCTGTCATTTAGGGTCTTAGCTACAGCTACAAAAAAAAACCATATCATTCAAGCTGGCCAGCAGCTTCTGGACAGTGTGATATGTAACCAAATTACTTGGTTTCATGGTCACAG